CTCATCTTCAATTAGGGGACAAACCTACCTGTAAGAGAATGTTTTTTTTTAATAATCACAATTTCCCGAGTTCAGAGTACCTAAGGTTATTTTTTCTGAATAAGAATATTCAGCTGGGAAACGTTTAAAATAAACACAAACAAATTCAGTAATTCTAAAAAAATGAAAACATAACACTGGCAATTATAATAAACCTCTTCAGCTGTAAGTTGTGTTGACCCTTTGCCTCTTATAAATTATGAGTTCATATACACATGAATGAGACGAAATTTGAAAAAAAAAGATATTAGGAGTATTATCACATGACCTGTATTGGGAAAACAAAACATACAAGCTAAAGAGGTCTATTAAGAATAATTATTATTACAAAAGGGATCTCTAATTTTTGAGGTAGCCGCATGCAGACACTTTAAACCTTGTTTATGGCGTCTCCAAATTAGAGCACAATATCGTTTTCGAGTCCTGCAGAGTCGCAAGGAAATATTTGAGCATCTTTGATTCGCTAGAAAGCTGCTAGTTTATTATGCACTTTGTGATTGGTCTGATTTTGGCGCAAGATCGTCGAAGGATTTTGTGACGATGTCCAGTTTGATTTGCATATTTGCATCTGAATGCGTTGAAGTTGATTTATCCTCAATATTTGCATGTGAATACCTGATCATGAATAACTTATGTCCAAATCGTTAGTTTACTGCCGTTTATGAATGCGTGACGTAGAAAAGAGTTACAAACGGGTAAACTTGGACAGATGTAAGAAGAATTTTGACTCACTTGCCAAAATCGAAAGCCTCAAGATCTCGCACCTTGACAGCAAGTACATATGCAGACAAAGTGTTGTGAAACTAAAAAGACGTTGTGGACTTATCATCCACATAGCTCAAGTAGAATCTGAGTTAAAAAATATATGTGACAAATCAAAGAAAAAAGGAGATGAGTCATTAGAGAGCGACATGGATTCATGAGCAAAATGGGCAAGAACCGTGCAGCCTGATAGTTTTCCTCTGCAATCGTCTGCTGTTCATTCAGCTTCAGCTACAAGAGCTGGAGAATAGCCAGATTAACCAGTTCAATCGATTAAATCGCAAGCCTTGAGCAGCTGCAATTTCTGTTTCTGTGTCATCAAAGAAAAATATGACAAGCTTATCTTGGAGAAGGGGACAAAATCCATTGATGTCATGGCTGCAGAAACTGTATCAATAGACTGAAGAGGCATAGAACTGTCAACACTCACCTGGAAGACCTCGAAAGAAAACTTAGGAAAGTTGCAAATCAAAACGTTAGTGAGAACAAATCCCAAATAACAGCGCTTGTGTCAGAACTACAATCGACTGCGACAATTGAAAACGAGTTGATAGATTTTACGGCAGAAAAAAAGAAGAAAGTCGAAGTTACTGTGATTGCCAAATGGCCATCAAAGGAGGAAAGAAAAAATCTTCCTGAAGATGTTACGTCTTTAAATAAAACGCTTGTTCAGGGCACCTACAAGCAAATTGCCAATGCTGTCTGGAAAAATGAAAAAATTTAAAAAGAAATTATGCAGCTAGTGAGAAAAGAGGTCGAGCGAGAGTGTGCACACTTATGCTCCAAGAATCCCAGTTGCTTGAGAAACACAGACAAAGAAGACATGCTGAATTTTTCTACGGAGAAACTCTGTTCAGAGGTAGAGGACAGGGCACCAATGCTACACACCGTTTTGTCAGCTGCTGCAAGACAGTTTGATCAAGGTGCTTTCAGCGATAATAGTGAAGACGAATTTAGACGAGGTAAGGCGTAAACTTGCCGACAAACCGCTCTACCGTTGTTGATTGATTAACTACTCAATATGAGGCTTAATTAACTCCATGAAAGTTACATAACAGATCTGGGTGGGCGCTCTTTAATTCATGTTTGCTGATGATACTACCATATTTACCATAAGTGATAATATTAATACTATAATTAAGGCCATGCAAGTTATAGTAGATCAAGTTCTTAGGTTGGTGTGGTGCTAACAGATTGATTGCTCATGAAACTAAGTCAGAAGCCTTATTATTATCTGAACAAAGATTCATTGGTCCATTGTTGGCTTTGAAGTATGGTGAAAAATTTATTGAATTAAAATCATCATGTTAATGTCTAGGAGTAACTATAGACAGTAATCTTTCTTGGCAAGAACACACTAAAAGTCTGTTAAAATCTTTTAATAAGAAAATAGCAGTCCTCAGAAGAATTAAATTCTTGCCATCATCCATTCTACAGACCATTTATTTTAGGACTGTACTTCCAAGTGTCTTATACGGAATACTAGTATGGGGTTCCTGCTCACCTGCACTAATGGATGATCTTGAGCGTGCTCATATACGAGCTTCTAAACTTATTTTTAAACTTTCAAGGAATTCGAATGCTGATCAATTAAATAAATTGAAAGGCTGGAACAATTTATCATTTTACTATACTAAGAGACTGTTAGTAGAAGCGTATAAATCCTACTATAGAAGCAATACCAATGTTTTAAATGATCTAGTAATGTTAAAACAATCATCTCACTGCCTGAGGAAATCAATGAATATTGAATTTCCAAGTCCCAAATCAGAAATTGGCAGGCTGACTTTTAAGCATAGAGCTGCCATTGCTTGGAACTCACTTCCTGATTCGATCAAAAAGTCTTCTAGCTTAGAATGTTTTAAAAAAAGACTTAGATCTAGCAAGGACTTAATTAATTCTATAAGCTATCATAAGGAATATTCCATGATAAGAAATAGGAATGAGGAATTTCTTTATTAATCTTATTTATATTTGTATTGTTATCATTATTTATTATTTAACTTCTGTTGATTTTCTATTTATTCACATGTATATACTTTAGTTTTTTTAACAAGTAGATAGGGAGGTCCACATCAGGACTTCAGTCTTGCGTATTCTGTAACCTGCGTTACCAAATAAACTATGTATGTATGTATTTACACCTTTCTTTTTTCAAAATATTTTATTATAATGGGACTCATTTTTTACAGTAAATTACTGGACCTCCTCCTCAGATGCGAAGAGTCCTTGGACTAGAAGTTTGGATAGATTACCTTTGTTCACTCTTAGAGAAATAGACGCGTTTTTTAAAGACTCTGGAAAAACCGCTAAGTTGAATAAGAGAACTAAACAACTGTTAAATGACACTTTCCATGAAGGTAACTTTTTAATGTTCCAGCCATTTGTGGAGCTAGCTACATAAAGGAAAATCACAAACTATGCTTTCCTATAACAACAGTCATCTTCAGCTGTTAAATATGCTTACTGTACATGTAGAGCTGGCAAAGGTGGTTGGTGTTATCATGTTTATGCACTAATGAAGGTCACTGCCAAATTTTCTTTGGAAGAATCGAAGTGCATCGCTGAGCTTCTACCCTGTATTTCAAAACCATGTGGCTGGACAGTGCCACGAAAGCAGCAACAGAATATCTCTAAATCTTCAGTTGTGGACACCACAGTTAAAAAAAAGCCAGAATCCATGGGAGTTGCGTACAATTTGCCAGAGCAGAACATCTGAAACAACTTAATTTTGATTCATTAAGTCAGTGTCAAATTGAACTGGCAAAGGTTAATCCCATGATCCCTTTTGTGAATTCCATCCGCAAGGAAAAAGGTATTCTTGCAATTGATTATAAGGAAACAAAGTATGGTAGATGCCAGTCTTTTTCACCACTTTCACAACAATTACCAATTTATGCAGAAAATTTTCAAGCGTATTACTCGGTTGACCCAACGATCGGTCAAGGAACCGTTTGATTTAATTCAAGGATATCCTTCCTTTCCTCACGACGAAGTCCCAGTCTACTATGAAATTGGGCAACATCAACTAAAAGATGAGGAACTCCTTGTCTTTGATGATTTGGATTTATCAGCTACAGACTCCTGATCTTTAGAGAGAGGTACAAGAGACCAGGCGAATTCTCCCATTTGGATGGAGCAGCAACAAAACAGGGCGACTGCTTTCAAGTTTTATGAAGTTTACAGTTGGAAGAGAGGGAAAGAAAGGCGTGCAAAAAACTTTGTTTGTGGGGACTCAACTCCATCAACATTTGTGCAAAGAAAATTGGACTGTGGTACAATGTACAAGTCAGATGCTTGGAGAATATACCTTGAGTGTTTTGCTTCACTTGGACAGGATATGAACGTTTTGCCCTGTGGATTAGTGGTAAATGTTACTAATAGATGGTTAGGCTGCTCGAAATTACTGTTCCCCAATAAGTTGGTATTGGAGAGTCCAAATGCCCGAATGATCAAAGAGACAGTGACCTCATGGATGTGGCACAGGCCAATAAAAATTTTTACTTCGAAGCTGTAGGAAATAGTTTGCATTTAAAACAAGAACACCCGTACTATTTTCAAGTTCAATGTCAGCTAGCATAAACCAGTCAGCTATGTTCAATGACTGTTGTTTATACACATAAAAGTCTTTATATTGAACGTTTTACTCTTGATGAACAATTCTGGAAAGATGCCCTCACAAAGGTTAACAACAATTATTTCTCCTCCATCCTTTCAAAGATAGTAATTAAAAGTGTGAAATTATCTTCAGCAACACCCCTTAGAATAAGGCTGCATAATAGAATACTGTAAGGATAATTGCTATATCACTGTCACCAAAAACAAAAGCATGAAACACATTTTAAGAATGATACTATCCCATGAACTATAACTTTCACCGTTATAAACTTTAACCCTGCATACATTTTTCTTAACACATTGATATTGTTTAGCAATAATTACATTTTAGTTACTGTAGAAAGATAAAAGTGGTACACTTAAGTCTGACACCTCCACTTAGATTCCACCACAGTTTGGTGCTCAGGTCACTAGTGATTTATTTATTTTACATTTGCCACACAGAATAAACATTACAGAAAGAAAATGAAAGATATGTATATACTATTACTAAGATTGCACAATTTACAGGGCAGGAAAAGCTACAAAAAAGAGTTCAAAATTAAATATAACATTAAGTGACTTCACTTTTGTAATAGACA